TGAGTGCCAGAAGCCATTTACCTTGACTTTAGGCTAACACGCTTTCTTGAAACAGATGTGATATACTCACTTTGTCTACCCAACATAAAACATAGACACACAGAGTGATTAAAACAATTGAGCAAGATGCTTTCTTACTCAAAGCAAAAGTTGTATTTGTGCCTGTGAAGTTTAAATAGAATAAGTTAGATACTACAGATGTAATTAAAGAAATAAAGGAGTCAGGGACTGACAGGTTTTATTTATGTAAATACTAGATGTAACGGACCTCCTGTTAACATTTTAGTAGTTACTTCCCAACTCCTTCTCCAAATCAGACAGAGAATAAGAACATCAGACCTTCCTTGAGGTCTCACCAAGCTATCAGTGTGAAGCATCCTCAAAGAAAACACAGCTGGGATGCCTAAAACTTCCCATTCCCTTTCTCAAGAATTTAGCTCTGGAAAACGTTAAGCCAAGTGGTGCACTGGTACTTCTCATTGTTACTTACCAATGGAAGAGTTACAGGCAGGAAAGCTAAAAAGAAAGAAACCTTTATTTTAGTAACAGTAACTACTGCGAGTCCAGATTGAATTTATTTATTTTTAAACAGAAAATTTCCTAGCTCCCCCTCCTTTAGTTTCAGCTGTCAATAAAACACTTGTTCATCAAATAAATGTAAAAAACAATGATAACCTTTGTCTCTCATTCCTCATTCAAGAAACCAAAGCATCTGGTCTTGGCTTATAGCCAAAAGGAGTCCCCATGAACCCCAATCACAACAGCCACTTGGAAACTGTATGACCAACAAACTGCATGACTACTCAAAGAGACACTGGCAACAAAGGCTGCCACAGCCCTGAGTGCTCATAGAAGAATGTTTATTTTCAAGCAGACTGTAGGAATAAATAAGTCTTCAAAAATTAAGAGTGCAACTAACAGGCATAATAGTCCACTTGGTTCCCATACAGAGAAAAGCACCACTGTGTGGTATTGCATGGAATATTTACTATCTGCCATCCCCACTGATGCTTCAGTTACGTGCTTCTCTGAAGGCAGCTCACCTGGAGGTCTGAAGAAAACAGGAATTATCCTGCCTGTATCAGGATGTACACTGGCCTTAGAAGAAGAAAAAAAAAAAATTAGACCACCTGTTCCATACTTAAATAAGAAAGAAAAGAAAATTGATTTCTAAGTCATTTGGAAACTTACCAGGCTCAGCAGGAAGGCTTGTTTTGTCTAAATAATTTGAGAATCAGGTTAGTAATGAAGCTTTCAAAAAGCATGACTGAAATCTTGTTTCTAAGTTTACTACATCATTTTTTTCTGATAAGTCACTTTTATGCAGTGTTGTGTGTTCACATCCCTTTAATTTTTTCCCTAACATTTCTCCCCACATGCTTTGCTGAATATAATCTAGTCACATCTCATATGCTATTAATACTAAACACATACTATAGCAAGTAAATTTTAAATAAGCCAGTATTCAGAACAGAAAATAACAACACTTAAATATGGCTAAAAGCCTAAAGACTTATTGTTAAGACTTGGGCTTTTCTACAACCACTGAATATTTTGGTTCTCCTTTCAGGCTCTGCCACACAGGGTACAAAGTGCCATATGGATACAGCAGAGTCTCCACTGAAACAAAAGCAAGACCCTTCTAATGAAGCAACTTCAGCACTTCCTTCCAGCAACTCCATGAGGAGGTTTCCCCCCCAGGTACTGCTACTGCTCATTTCATGAGAGGTGAAACCAAACCAACCTGCGCTCTGTATGATGACACAACACCAAAAAACACAAAATACACTCTGTAAATATTTTGCACGTTTTGCATGTTCTCCAGAATGATTACACTGAAATTTGACAGCGGTCATCCAAAGAAATTCCTTCCACATTATAGAAACATTTCTGTTGTAAAGAGGCTTTCTTGTATTATCCCTTGTTACCGAATCTCAATATTCTGTCTGATCTTACACTAACATCAAGTATTTCAATCATGAAAAAAAGACATCTCTATTTTCTATCAGCTGTGCTCCAAGATACCTGATGATTCTGTAGGGGCTCACTTTGGGTCTTTTCATTGTTTTCTAATAATAACCGGGCTCTTCTTATTTCATCCTGTATTAGAGGAAAAAAAAAAGAAAATAAACAAAAAAAACCCTCAGATTTCAATAGTCTAGAGTACAGCATATCAGCTGTGATACTATAAACACAAACCTGTGACATCAAGCCAGTACACCCATCCCTCACAAGAGTAATGAAAGCAATCATGAAGCATGCTGGCAAACTCCACTGCCAACCCTTAAATGAGGGCTGGGAAGGAGTGGATCCTGGCTCCAGCCCTTCCAGTCACTCAGCTGCACTGCATGCAGGTGAGCTCCCCTGGGCTGGCCCTGCCTTCCACCAGGTGCTCAATCACTGCTTCAAGCTGTGACTTAGCATTTCTGCTACAGCTGTCTAAACAGAAAGTCTCCTAGGAGGCTTTATGAGATGACTGGAGTTTTCTTCAGCAGGTGTATCTCTGTGTGTAACTGTGTATCCTAATGCAAGGAGGTGTGATCTCAGCCCTCCAAATTCCTGAATGTACTACCAAAGTTTACTTTGGTTTTCATATATTTAGTGTACAAGTATTAAATTAAATTTCCTGTCATATCTAACACAGATGGAACTACAGAAGGACACTGTTCCTGCTACCTAACCTGAACCTCCCCTGGCACAACTTGAAGCCATGATCTCTCATCTTATTGCCACAGCCTTCTTGTAGGGCAACGTAGAGTGCAATGAGAACTCCTCCAGATTATACCATCCCAATTCTCTCATCCGCTCCCCACAAGATCTGAGTTCCAGATCCTCACAGCTCTGTTGCCCATCTCCAAGCATCCTGCGGGTTCCTGATGTCTTTGTTGTAGTGAGGGGCCCAGAACTGAGCGCAGCACTGAGGTGCAGCCCCACCAGTGCCAATACAGAGGAACGGTCACCTCCTGCTCCCGGCTGCACTACTGCTGGCTCTGGGCAGGACGCCGCTGGCACACACCTGGGCACACATTCAGCCGAGCATCAACCAGCACCTCCAGATCCTTTCCACAGCGCAGCTTCCCAGTCACTCTAACCCCAACCTGCAGCAATGCATGTCACCAAAGCGCAGGACCCGGCGCTTGGTCTCGCAGTCATTCTGTGCTACAGAGAGCCTGCAGACGAGCCGCGCTCGAGCAGAATTCCCTTCTGAAGGACACGTGAAGGAGCATCAGAGCGCTCTGCAGCGCGCAGCACCGCGCACACCCGACAGAACGGCACCACAGCACTCACCGCGGACTTCAGGAGGTGCAGGGGGTCTAAGACATCCGCCCACAGAAGAAGCCTCTGCCAAAAAGACTGCAGGAGACACGCGTGTGGGTGACGCCGTTAATGGCGCGCTGCCCGTTCCGAGGAGCCCCGCGGCCTCTCCCTCCTCCCGCCCGGTCCCGTCCCACGCCCCGCGGCTCGCCCTGCTGCTGCCCGCCGCCTCACCGGGCCCTCAGCCCTCCAGAGCCGCAGGTTGGCGTCCATGGAGCCGCGGCACCGGAAGGCGATGCCGGGGGACGGTCCGATCGCTGCACGCTCCGCCCGGGCCCGGCCGGGGCTGCGGGGATCCGAGGTGCGGCGGGAGCGGCTGCCGCTCCGGGCGGGTCGCCGTCCTACTGAGCAAAGGGAGCGCGGGGTAAAGCGGCGAGGCTGCCAGAAACGCCCGCGTGTGTGCAGGAAGTTAAAGGGAGCGAGCCGAGGGAAGGGAACCACGCGGCCTGGTGAAGAATGGCGCTCCAGCCATGCGAGCTCACGTACAGCTGCCATCGAAAGCACTGTCAGGTTGCTCTGTGTTAGCGCAGAGGCTCAGCTTCACATACGGTAGGTGCAGGAGATGAATTTTATTGAAAAACGGCAGGGGTACTTGGGGGTTTATAACAAACTGAACCAAAATGCTGGTGCTGCAAAGGTATTTGCGAGTACTGCGACCCACAACGCGGCCTTTCCCTGTTTTTCCTTCCTTTCAGCTACGTTGCAACACTGACTCTATTAGAGGGCTAATTTGGGAACTGGCACCTTTGCCAGCTGGTTCCCTTATCTTCTGCCCACCGCTCACAAGGGGAGATGCTGAGAAACCTGTTCAGAATCGTTTCAGTTCCTCCAGTGGCAGCAGCACACCAGCCTCCAAGTGAGCCTCACAGCACTTGTCACCACTGGTCCGGCTGCATCCCTCCTCACCCCCACACAAAGCCAGCACAGCTGGCTGCTGCAGACAAAGGCACAAAATGCAATGGCAGGCTGCTCAGAAGAGAGAGATGATGATGTGGGAGAGAAGCAGAAAGCAAGCAAAGTAAGACAGCTACTGCAAGTCAGTACTAGGATTTATTGATGGTACCACGAATGCAGGTATGCTATATTCTTTTAAATGGTACAATTTACAATCAACCTTTACATTTTCTGGAGGCAGATTCAAGCAGACAAACAAGGCTTTAAATGAAGGAGGATTGTTACCAAGCTCCAGTAAGCACAGTAGTGCAGTGCAAATTTTTAATTATCTCCTAGCCAGAATGCAAGCTCATAATACCTGTTAACACTCCTGTGTAGCTGCACTGTATTTTGACATTTTGTATTTGGCAAGATTTAATTTGTACATACACTGATCTTATACTGTGGACAGAAACTTTCTTGTGCGTGTTACATTCCTTTCATCCCCTAAAAAAAAAATACTTCAAAAGAACTCTGTCAAAATTGTTTTCTGTATTGTCCACTTGCACGGTTTCCAGCTCATTACAGAAGGGCATCCATCATGCGAGAAAAGCTAAGTGGGAGTTTTCTTTTTCCCAAAGCTAGTTAAGCAAAGAGGGAAAACAAACTAAAAAGAACAAACTGGAACATAACTGTTTTTCATCCACTTGTCACATTCTGGTTACAGGCATGCATAGAACTTAATTTGCTGAAGGGGAAAATAAAGCTTTATTTTTTACCTTATTTTTTTTTAAAAAAGGCAAGAGAGGCAATAAGTATTTCAGCATTTAATTATTGTTTTAAAACATGAGGAAATGAGAACCTTTCTTCTTCCATAATCACAGCCACTTAATGTCTTCAGCATACAGCAACTAAGTTTCATCTGCACTTCAGTGTTTATGTGTCAAAATGTGTGTCAAAATATTCTTTAGAAGCCTTTGGACTTGGTTTGATCTGTCAAGAAGAAAAAAGTAGTTATTGTATGATGTAACTGCGATATAGAAGTTATGGACTTGACATTTTATCCAAGAAACAAATATTTTAATAAAAAACATTAAGTTATTTCTGTTTCTGCACTTGGCTGAAAGAAGTATGAGCCCCTACTTGCCAATTTGGAGTACATGTAACACGCTGCTCCTGCTAGATATCAAGCAAGGCATGAAGCAAGTAAAAAAATCCATAGACAACTGCTGGAAAGTGCAAACATTTGAAATACAAACAGCGTTTTCTAAAAGAAAGTCAGTGACTTTCTTCACAGAAATCACACATTTAATATCATACAAATAAACTGAATTGGTCCAGTGAAAGCCTCACGCTTAGAAAAACAGGAAGAGATTCATTGAAGCACTTCGTATTAAAGCAGTTCTTATCCCTTGGGACACACAAGAACATGCCAGTGTCTATATTTAGAACAGTGATATTTAGCAGACACTTACTGTAGGGGAATCTGGAGTCCAGTTTGCTGGGCAAACCTCTCCATGTGTTTCCACATACTGGAATGCTTTCACCAAGCGAAGGGTCTCTTCCACACTGCGACCGACAGGGAGATCATTGACGCTCAGATGCTTGATGACCCCATTTGGATCAATGATGAAGAGACCTCTGCAAGTGAGTGAAAAATCTCAGGAATGCAAGTTGTATTTAAAGATCAAAGGCAAGAAACAGATGAACAATTTCAGGGTGGTAGTTAGATGCACACTTCAGGCTTAGGAGCAGCAATACTGCATTTGATGTATTGTTAGTGCAGTGATCAAAAGCTAAGAGCCCACAAACTGGTATGGTGTTGTGAAATTATGCAGTACACATCAAGACTATTAAGACAGCAAGATGTACAAGATAGAACTTCTAATTCATTCTGCATTTCAAAGCTGATAGCTAGAATCCTTCCTGTATCTTTTTTATATGAAAATCCAAAGGTACTGAATGAAGAGCTGCTTATGCAATAAACTACTCAGTTAATTTCTGTTATTTATAAGCCATTGTGGAAACTAGAGAACAAATTAATTAGTAGGGTGAGATTCAGAAACAAATGTCTGAAGTCAACAAAGAAGCTTCTATTTTGAAGTGAAAAATAACAGCACAGATTAGGGCAACCTAGAACAACAATGAACAATACTGATTCAACATTGAATCAGAACATTAAGCAGCCTCCTGTGGACTTTTGCCACTCTTTCACTGGAAAGAAGTCAAATGAAACACTTCCCTCCACACCTCCATGGCACAGAAAAGCCTGCACCTGAACACTAAGAATACAGGATTACTTTGGGGATTATAGCCAGCATAAACCTTCTAATGAAAAGAAATGAAGAATCTGGATGTCCCTAATAGACTCCTAGGCAACTGTTTACTTTTAAGGACCATCATTTGCTTGTAGTATTTCCATGGAGTAAAAAGCATCAAGGATAACTAGGCTTGACTGTAGTGGCCTCTAGGACTACAGCTCTACGAACTTTTCGCTCACAAATTCAGGCACTCTCTCTTCCCCTTTCAGAAAAAGAGGAAAAAAAAATTATGAAAAGCATAGAAATTGAAAAATGCTCTTTATCCAACTCTCCTTTTCCTTCCTCAGAACAGAGTGGCTAGCTGTTCTCTGCATGCATCCTCAGAGAAGTCTGAAAAATTCTCAACTTTGCTATAACGGACATGCGCCCTTTTCCTGGGATGAGGGTCAGCAGCAAGGCCACAGAAGTTGCATCTTTCAGCATTCATGTGATCCCTGTACAGTTTCTCTTGGAGAAAACTGAATCATCAGCAGTCATTCATTACCTTAGTGCAATGCCAGGTCCTTCTAGCAGAACACCATAATCACGGGAGATTTGTTTCGTGAGGTCTGACAGAACTGGAATATTCATTTTGCCCAAACCGCCACTCTGGAGAAAAAAAGCAAGATCCCATTTCGTTAACCTAGTGCTGCTTAGGATTAACCCTGAGGCTGGATTCAGTGCTCTCAGAGGTACATTAACAACAAAACCCCATGAAGTTCACCTGGAGTGGTTCTTGGGTTTTCGTTTGTTTTGCTCCAAAAAGCACTCAAACAGTTGCTGTGTTGGGAACATGAAAACTTGTCTAGCACTGAGAACTTTAGAATTGCTTATTTTGCTGGCAAAAGGTACCAGTGACAACAGTTGTATTTCCATGAATATTTCCTCTGTACCTCATGTAGGAGCTTGGAATATAAGAATTCCTATTACATATTTAAGTGATCAAAATTGAACAAGATTAAACGTGGTGAGAAGGGGAGAGAAACTTGTACATTATACAGATGAAACACAAGGCTTCTCACAAACATACCAGGTATGTCAGAATTCTGTTGCTCTCTGTATGCAGTGCATGCAATCTCCCTTAAGTTTAAATACTATTTGGAAAGTCAACCAAGATTGCTTTGATTTTTACAACACATTGGAACAGCAAGAGAGATAAGCTCTGTTATCCTTGAAATAGGACTGGCATTTGTTAGCTTTTCTACTCCAGCCATCATCAGTGGATCATTGTGTACTCTGTCACTTAGACCCTGACCTTGCAAATTCTTGCCTGCAGCAGAGTTCTAATATGCAGGGAGATGTCAAAAGAACCTAAGCTTTAACTCCTCTGGGTGTCAGTTTCCACATCTGCACCATTATGGAATTCCTTCTACCCTGCAGAATGTTTTGCTACGCATGCATGAAACAAGGCATGAGTGGTGCATGCTGAACAACTTCCCCATAAAGCAATGAAGGCAGTTTGTAATCACATTTCAGAACTTCAGCAAAACACGCAGAAGATTAAATACTCTTGATTGGTTCAGCCAAATCACATTAAATTAAGCAAACTTTCTTCCTTCTTATGTTATCAAGGAAAAGCCAAGTACCTGGAGGCAGACCAGTTCAACTGTGATAAGCACTTTTTGTGGGCTGCTGTCCCCCTGGCCACACATGTAAGAAGTGATTACACCACACCCGCTCTGTGGCACTTCTAACTGCCTACATCTAACCTTTATGTTATCAAAAGCATGCAATTTTATATGCACAATGAAAGAGAATCCTCTCGGGAAAAAAAAAAACATCATCTTCATCATGTTCTTGCCCAGAAGAAACCAAAATACCTCAATTTATGTTACAGAAACAATTCTCATTTGCTGAAAAGATTTCAATATTAACAATGCTCCATTACACTGGTTGTTGTTAACTAGTACCTCACAGTAGCAGCTTCAGAATGGAAGCAGAATAACTGCTTTCATTTTCTGTGACATCCCTCACAAACCATCAGCTGTCACAAGCAGCCTAGGACACCGACATGGGTACTTAATGCCTGTCTCTGAAGATAAACATAAAATATATGATGTAACCTACAGGACTAAAGAGGGCAAAATTAAGAAAACAAACCCCACTAAACAAATTACGGAGGAAGAGATCAACAACAGAAAGACTTAAAAGAACTTAAGTCTAAGTCCTGTCAAAGGCAGAAAATACTTAACACGTCGCTACAGACGGCTTATTTATCATAATCAATGTTTGCGGAACTGCTTATTCTTCTCAGGAGCTCCTGTGGAAAGAAAACAAACCAAGGAGGGAAGCTGCCAGGAGCTGCTCCATCCATACCTTGCGTGGTGTATTTATCCAGGCCAGGTGGCTGAAGTGGGAGTCCACAGAAACCGCCACCACCTCGCAGTTCACATCGTGGAACTCATTCGCTTTGTTACTAAAAGCCACAATTTCTGTGGGGCACACAAAGGTGCTGGGTGGGAAGAGAAAGTGAACTGTAACCATTCAGCAAGCTTTCCAGACCGGTCTTACAGAAGGTGCTTGCGTTTCTGTTGCCAAGCACCAAAGCAACAGCATCTTTTGTTGAGCTTAAACTTTGAGCCTGTTTGCTGCACTCAAAGCAAGAGTTAGAGGGCAGAGCGGCTTCCAACCGCTGCTGGCACAGAGCGATTTCGGCATGGAACCCAGGGGCTGCGGGTTAAACCCTCCCGAGCCCAGCAGAGCCGCCCGCGTTGCTCCGCCAGGACAACCCGCCCGGTGCCGCGCAGCCCCCGCCTGACAGGGTTACGGCCGCACTCACAAATCCAGAGGGTAGAAGAAAAGCACGAGGTATTTCCCCTTGAAATCATCCAGGGTCAGCTCCTTGAACTCCCCATTGACGACGGCCGTGCCTTTGAAGAACGGGGCATGCTGCGTAACGGCCGCGGCGAGCCGCGAGGCGCCTGCGGGGACACATAACGCATTGCGGGCCGCCGCCTCCGCGCTGCCACCCCGGGGCACAGCGCGGCGGAGCCGCCCCGCGCTTACCCAGCGTGAGCCGGCGGCGGGCGCACAGCAGCGGCTGCGCCGTCAGCGTCCTCCCGGCGGCGGGCACCTGCGGGGACGTGAGGGTCAGGACCAGGGGGAGCCGCGCGCTCGTTCCCGCCTTCCCGCCCTCGCTCACCGCACGGCGCAGCAATCCCCTCAGCGCGGCCGCCATCTTGAGCGCGGCGCAGCAGGCGGGGCCGGGCGGTGGGCAGGGGATGCGAGGGACAGGAGGAGGGGCGAGGGCGGTGCTAGGCTCCGAGCCGCCCCCAGGATCGCCCTCGGCTGGTGCTGCGTCCTGGGGCGGGAGGAACGGAGGTGGTTCCTGCCGCGGAGCGACTGGCGGGGTGCGGTGCGGTATGCGCTGGTGCGCACCAAAGAGAAAGAAAACGTACCTCGCGCTGCTGGATCTCGGAAAGCTCACGGATACGACATTTTGAAATGCAATAGACTCTTCCTGTACTGAGTTCATGGTCACGTTACTGCCTTTTAGTCAGAAAACCCAAATGCTGACCAATACCTAGCAGATGGCAGCAGCACAGAGAGGTGTGCAGGTTGTGGGAGGGACCACATCTGACTCAGGTAAAGCTTCCAGCCATCCTGCTGCTTTAGTATCGCCATTTATAAATATCCATGGCCTTTTACCAAGGGGAGATGTCCCCAGCTGCTTATGGCTTCTCAGTGGTTCACAGGGTGACAAGGCCAAAGCAACCAAAGTGGCATGAGAAAGCTCCTGGAAGCTGTGCAGACGCTGTGGCTCTGATGAAAGTAACTTATTTCTGGAACCGATCCAGTTCAAGTGGTCTGGTGGCCTCTGTCACAGTCAGCTCTCAGAGCCTTCAGAAGAGGGAAGTCACACACAGCTTGCTTGTCCTGACTAACTATTAACCAGAATCGGCTCTCTAACACGCCCAGGAGCTGTTTGGGACAGTTGGCATTGCCCAGAAGCATGTCAGGTACCTTCCTGAACATTTAACACTATGGACAGACCAGTTTTGCCACCTTTCTGTGGCACTCTTGAGTTTATTAATATAGATAAAAGCAATAACTGCCAGAAATGTAGCTCTGATAATCTTCTCAAGAGCTGCCAAAGAGAGCAACCAGAATAAAAATATCTACTAATATGTGCACAGAGATACTGGGTGAAGATGGCAGTATCTAAGAGGAGGTGATGAAGATGGAAATGTTCTGCATGATACTAGGGAAGATGAACTGTTCCTTCAGCCATTCTGAAATGAGAAAGGAAAGGAAAATGTGGAGACTTAAGGATACAGATACTCCAGAGTTAACCACCACAACAGTCTAACAGCTTCCTGCATCCACTGATTTCCTTGAATTCAAACATGCCTCACTATTGCTTTTGATGTGCAGCTGTTCCCTTCAGGCTTAAGATCTTCTAGCAAAGCTCTGCACGTGCATTTGAGAATGTGGGCATAGGTATGTGCTGATTTTGTCACTAAAACAGCAGTTTCTGAGTTGAAAAACCTCAGATGCCCCTTTCTTCTCCTTAGCGTTTTCCAGATGTGTTTGAGATAGGAGCTCAGTTTTGCTGAGCAAAGACTGCCTGAAAGCACTATTTGGACAGGACTCTGATGACTTTGATGAGAACATCAGTGGCTGTGCAAGGGGAGTTAGCTGACTGAGCTGCTCAACATAGAAGTGGAAGAAGTATACTATTTATCTGAAAAATATATCAAATAAACTATGGGTGAGCTGTGTTGTAGCCTGTAGCTTTCAGAGCCTCCACGAAGAACAGCAGATGAAGAGAGCAAAAGCAGTTGTTGAGAATTACATCTGCTGTAGATTTTAAGGAGATTTTAGAGCCACTGCTGAGATACCACAAGGGCTATCAGCAGAGCAGCAAGCAATGGAGCTAGAAAAAGGACATCTACAGTGTAATAACTGATGGCAAAGAGCAGCAAAGAAGTATCAGGCATTTATTAGGCCAGCTCCTTAAACAGCTATGCAGACTAGCATGTCAGCATTCACATGTACTGAAATGGTACCCCCTTCACATCAAGAGATGAGCTCTCCTGACAGCGACTTCTCCAAGGCTGGGCAGCAAACAGTAAGGTAAGGATACAGCTGGGTAAAGGGAAAGGTGATGGCCAGACAACCAATTCTAAATTAGCCAAAAAAAGGGTAATGGTCACAACCCAGTTTAAATAAATAAATAAACAAACAAACAAAAATTGCTTACCTGTCCAAAGACCAGGATTCACTAAACAGTCTAAAAGAAGAGATCTCTAGATAGAGATTGTTCCTTTGTGGCCGCCAGCCCTTACTTAAATGAGGTTAGGGAGGGGTGCAACCTTCTAGTCACACAAGTGAATTGCTTTCACTGTGCTCTCTGCGTCCCTTCACCAGGTGCTCGATCATTGGTCCGGGCTGTGACTTAGCAATTCCCGGCCAAAGCGGTTCCTTTCCCTCAGCTGCAGGAGCTGCATTGTAGCAGTAAAAATAAGGGACTACTGCTAGGATTTCCTGAGGATGGTTGTCTCGCTAACAGATGATTATTCACAATTTCTAAGTTGATATATTCTAAAATTGTGTTTTCCCCCTCCCCGGAAAGCTGTATTTGTTTAAAACTCTTTGTTTAAACACTTGGCATGCAGGTGGGGAAATATTGCTCATGCTTTGTTATGAAGACAGGATAATTAAGTTTCCAAGACTTCTAGGCAACATCTTAAACTACTGCCACTTAGCACAAGGGGTTGTTTTCCATTTTACTTTTTACTGGGCATCCCAGCAAAAGGATTTGAAGATGGGCTTTGTTTTTGCCGAAGTGTGGGTGACAAAAGAATCATTCCTTTTCCTCAGCACCAGTTCTGATGCAGGCTGGAGCAGCTGCTAAACCTGGTTCTTCTTGCCATCTGTAGTTCAGAATAAATTTACCAAGTGGTGTCACACGCACTTCTGTCTCAGCACGTTGTTGGTTTTCTGCTTTGCTGTGTCACTGTGCACTTCTAAAATCACAGCGTTATTGAGATTATGTTATTAAAAAAAAAAAGACCAGGGAAATCACAGACCCCAGTCTCATTTCATCCTGCAGTGATGGAGTGCTGGTTCATACCGGTACAGCACAAAATCAGCAGAGAATGGACATGTTAGTTTTGAAAGATTCAAATTTTAAAACACAATTCTAACACATCTGAAGTTGATGAAAGACTTTCCACAGACTTCAGCAGGCTTTAGCAGAGAAATTTGTATCATTGCAAGGTGCAGAACAGTAGATAAGGCATTTGAATAGATACCGAAACATGTACATTTATTTTTTTCTTATTATGACACCTGCCTGCCTCTTCTTACTTTATGCCTTTTTCCCTATCTGGGAATAATTAAATTTGCCTTGGTGTTAAGAAAATATATGAATTGAAATCTGTGATAAAAAATACTGGATAATGCTCATATGTAGTTACCATGGTTTTGTGAGGTTGGTTTTTAAAGAGCTTTTTCAATGTTTGTTTTTAACAAAAGAAGCTTCAGTGGGAAAGTAACTTCTCTCTACACTTGGTGAATGGGACAAGGAAATCCCTTAACAGATCTCTCCTGCTTCTGACAACCATGAAATGTCAGATTCTGTGCTGATTATGGGATGTGTACTTCTGCTTGTTTAAAAAATAAAATCTGCTCATCTTCTAGATGATTATTTTATTCCATATGCTTAAATGCTGTCACAGTCATTTATCTTCTACTTTGAAGAAACAGTTGATTGCAAGAAACAAAACAAAACAAAACAAAAAACAAAATTTGGGAATGGAGCGAAACTACAGGGACATAAATATTTTCACGTAAATTAAAGCAAAAAGTTGGGTTTTGAGAAAATGATGCATCACCCCATGGCTGTTGGTAGATGGCAGCCTCTGTCCTTATGCAAAAGGGCTCTGTGAAAGGTCACAGCTGCCCGCAAATGCTCTCCTGGGTCTGTGTGTCCCCACCTGCTCACACAGCATCTCGGTGGGAGGTGAGAAAAATTGTATTTCAAATGCAATCTAGCTAAGAGGTAATCGTGAGCAAGCTTTACTGCATTAATTATGTATTGTAACATGGAGTTGGGTGATAGCCTCTGTTAGGGTATGTTTGCAATTGATAAGCACAGGCAAGCCCCTTTATGACAGCTGATTCAGCCGGGACCTTATCCTGATATGCCCAGCGCTGAGGCCGAGCGCTTTTTCTCTGGGGATAGGAGAGAACTGGGTGTGTTGTGTGTTGCTGCTGTGCTTCTGGCTGGAGCTGCACGAGCCCACCCTGCCGATGACTCATCCCTTAGAGTGGCTCAGAATATCACACTCTGCTTTGCTGCCTTCCTATCTTTATTACGCCGATGCATTTGGGTCTTACACGGCGTTGGCATTTCATTTACAAACCTCTTTTCTCCCATAGAAGAAAGATGGCTGCCAGCCCCGCTTCAGCCTGGTGTTCAATTCTCAGAAAGTGTTTTCCTCAGCTTTTATTGAATGGCTTCAAATGAAAGGTGTTTTGTTTAAAAGCTGAGTAACCACAATAAGAACTGTACATTTTCCAGTTTAACAGGGCTTTTTTTTTGTAGCCTCTCTTTTTTCATTTTCTTTGAAAATTGGCTGTTTCTGCATACAACTCAAACTACATTTTTACCCTTTGCTCCTCACAAATGCTGCATTAGGATCTTTAACCCTGAAAAGAAGACCTGTGCTTCTTACCTGCCGCACTGTCTTTGAGTCTATTCTTTCATATTTGAGCACCAAAGTTTACAGCACTGAGTAGATTAAGATTTACAGAACAAACTCATAGGTTTCCTGATAATGAGCAGTTTATTTTCCCCTCACTCACACTGATTGCTCATTAAACCAGGCATAGTATAGCCTGGATTAAGTCTGTGTTGTTGCAAGAGAAAATTGATACAAGTAAATGTACCTCTTTCTAATCTTTTGTTACTGTTTTTGTGAACCAGGTGTTCAAGGTGACACAAGAATGAAGATACAGCTATAAGAAAGTCATAAGGTAAGATTCCAAATGTTACAGTGAGTTTTGAAAATACCAATGTATGGACTTCAGGTCAAGTAGGTCTGTGCAGTGACAATTGATCTGTCAATCCACAGGGAGTGTGAAAAGGGCCATCCCTCAGAGTCCTGTGCTGAAGCACAGCCTTGTGTTATGTTCAGGCTTTAGAGATAGGAAATGGAGATGGGGGAGGACTGGCTGTCTTGCTTTGTTATTCAAAGTAGGCATTGTGATAGTGAACACAACTCCTTTGTGTTCTAGGGCACCAAGGTGTCTCACATGTATTGGAAACAAGTTTTATTTTCTTAAACACTAAAAGAATCATTAAGAAGACCCACTCCATTGTTCTTACTGATAGACCCAAATTTAAAGTTGCTGCTCTCTGTATAGATGTGTAACTCTGACAAACGCGTTCCTGTAGAACTTCAGCCGTCCATTAGCGGAGCTCAGCTTTCCACTGCCTGCACTCAGCTCCATTTAAGTTCAGTGACT